GTGCTGAGCGGTTCATTTCCCTTTCCTGTGCCGTAAACAAGGCGTCGAACACGCTCGTTGCTCACGCGGTGTTCCCACCAGATGTGAGTCAAACTGCGAAGGCACCGATGATCGAACGTAAACTAGCCTCTTCATGTCCGCCGATCTTAGGGGCCAGGTTTCGCTACCGTATAGCAAGGTCGAATGTACCGCTGCATTGCACACTCTACCCTTCAGGGCGAGAGTGATGTCGCGCCGCCGCCATAGGTGGCGAAGATTAGCAAAAGCACTTCGAGTTTTTGATATGCGGTTCGTGATCTCATCTTCAATCCCAAGGGCGCTGATACAACTTCGCAGGTAGTTGAATTTTTGAACGACTTCTAGCTGATCCCCACCAAGCGTCACCGCAGGTGGCGATCCCTGCCCAATCTTGGAGGAAAGCTTTGCACTTCGATGGGGCAAAGCAAAAGCCGAAGCGGTTGACAGGCAGTGCTAATCTGTCCAGCCCGGCTTGGCACGTATGGGAGCTGTCACAGATTAGGGCAATAACATCAGCATATTCCAAGTCAAGAAGTCGTTCTCCTGGGAGTAGCTCCGCACCTTCTAAGTCGTGTCATGGGAATTTAATCTCCATGACTTCGTCAGTAGTGAAGTTGAAGAGGAAAGGTGACAGCAGGCATCTTCTCTCACACCGCTGGAGATACCGAAGGGCGGCAACATCTTGCCGTAAGCCCTCACTCTGCCCGTGCTACGCGCTTATAGTGCGCGTATATTATTTACGTATTTCTCGGGCACACCTTTTCTGATTAGACAGTCTTGAAGGGCACATCGATCAACCGAATCGAAGGCACCTTTGATATCGAGGAACACGACAATGGTGGGCCGCCAATATGTGTGACGGTGTCCCAACACTTGATCTAAAGTGAAGATGTGGTCGATACAGCCACGACCCCGACGAAATCCGGCTTGTTCCTCACAAATCTGGCTTTCACGAGTGCCAGTCAGTCTGTGAAGGATCACAGAAGCAAGTACTTTGGAGGCGATGGGGATCAGGCTGATTCCTCTATGGTTGCTGCATTCTGAACGCGAGCTTCCTTTGAAGATCGGAACAATAACGGAGCGGCTCCAGTCGGTTGGGACAGTTTCACTAGTAATTCGTGTAATACTTCAACAAGAGCACGGTCCCCGAATTTGACGAGGGCTGGATGGATAGCATCTGGTCCCGCGTCTTTGTTCAACTTCAACAGTCCGATGGCACGTTTGACTTCTGAGCGAAACGGCGGATCAAAAGAGAGCCCAGGAAGCAGGGCGATCACTAGCCGGTGAGCAATCTAACAATTCCTGCCGGTAAAATGCTTTTCAAAATGCTCAATTCAAAGCTCCAAACGTTTTGACAAGTTGTGGATAGGCCGTCCACTATCGTCAAGTATAGTTTCACTAACACCAGGTCTCCTGCTGCCCGTTTCCCGTATCACACGGAATAACCTTTGATGGTTATTAAGCGCAGCGGCCACTTCCATCTCTGACGCACGGTGAGACCACCAAGATTCGCGGTCTCTCTTCAGGCTATCATGGAGTTTTGCCCGGAGCTCTTTGCGAGTTTCATTGTGTTCGCTTCCAGCTGGAATATGCCAGAGAGCATCGATAAGTTCCAGAGACTGCGAAGAGACCAAATGTTCATGTTGGCTATTAGACTTATCACATGATGATTTGCCTGCTGCTAGTAAGATCTGGTGAACATGCGACCAGTGACCTTCGATTGTCTCCAGTGAGCGCTTACTCAACTCGCATGTCAGCGTATTTCGATACGCATTCAGAACAGCTGACTTCGTCAGTTGGTTGGTGTCAATGTACTCACAGCGTCGTCTTGGGCGTCCGCCAAAACGCATCCGCATGTCAGCACATACCAGTGCACGATCGGTGTCCACACGTGTGTTCCAAATCGAACGACAGTTCTGAATGCAGCCTCTCCATCGGTAACTGATTGCAATGTGATCGATTTGCGTCCATAACTGGTTCAAGGCTGGTGGTCGCCAAGTCACCCTCCGGCGAGTGCTGTGTCGGAAATTAGTGTTTGCAAGAAATAATCGAGCATCTTCACACAAATGAAGTAACCGCTCACCGTTATCATTACGGGAGCCTACACCATTTTGACAGCCCAGATGCAGCTCATCTGTGGATAATTTTCCAACTTGAGCGTGCAGATCCCCCGCTAGTACCACAGTATTCTCGCTTCTTCTGTGGCGAAGGAGCTCGGTCAGTTGGCGGTAGAAGTCGTTTTTACCCAATCATCGCTACAGTTTGTGGGCGCGTAGGCAGCGATGATGAATAGACACCTGTTAGTCCCGCGCGACTTCGAAGCTTTGAACGAGCCAGCCAATCGGACCGCACACATCCGGCTACTGACTGGAATCCAATCAACTGGAGTAGCTTCAGCCCTTGGACTCAGAGCAATACCAACACCGGTTTGGCCGGTGCTCGAAGCTGCATCGTCACCGGATAGGCGCAATGAGAAAATACTGCTAGTGTCACCTGAAGGGGATCGCAGATTGAGCACAGAGCTCGAGTCTTGGGGGCGGGTTTCCGATAAGCAGCAAATTTCGATCGAGAGGGTCTCTAACGTTTGGGCAAGTGCTGCCTGTTGACCGATCTGTAGCAGTGTGTGTACATTGAGGCATGCTAATCTGAAGAAGGACCGAGGGCTCCAAATGGAAGCCGATAAACATTAGTGGAAACGGGCTTGTCGACAGGGCAGGAGTGATGCTTCGCCTTCGCATGCGATTTGAAAATAGAAAATAAACGCAAGGTGGGGGAAGGCCAAGTATCGGGGGGGGGTTTGAAGACTGGGAGGATAAAAGTGAAGCTGGAACGGTACGATAAGGGTGAAAAAGCGCAAGTGGGTGAATACGAAGACGGGAGGGCTTGAGCAGTGGCATCCAAATACCTATCCACCCTGCTCGATGCAGCAGATAGGATGCCATTTATTATCCTCTGCGACGGCCAGAGCATCAAGAAACTGTTTGAAGAGAAATTCATTGTATTGCGTGCGCAGGATACTGTCAGGTTGCCCAGGCCTAGACAAGAGAACGATTGGGGTTCTCAACCAAAGCCTTTGGTTTAAAAACCTTACCGCAAGGCAGCGGGTGTGGCAGTGGGCTACAAGGAGTCCGTTTTAAAGAATAAGGAGCCATCCTCATTTCCAACCCCAACCTGGAGGACCAGGAGGCTGAGTTTGTCTGGCCTCTAACAGTTGAGCAATCTATTACCCGTTACCCGTTGAATCTATTACCCGTAGGTCAAAAATGCCGGCGTTTGTTTCAGCATAAGCTGAAATTTATCTACCATTGTTGTCCATTTGCGTGACAGCTGCGTGCTACCGGCTGTTTATTCGGCTGTTCACGTACGCAGAGCTCCCAATACAGAATTTAGTTCTTGAAATATAAATAGCCAAATATATAAATTTTACTCTCGACTATGCGAGGCACTCCCCTAGAGGCAATCGATGTGATGGGAGTATCGAACTGGAGTGAACAGATGGACCCGAGGAACGATACGCACTGCCAATGGGAGGCGAACCTTATATACCCGGTCATTAGACGCAGGAGATATGGTCGTACGTCTACGTGTCTCTGCTGGTTGGTTGACGTTAGGCAACATTGCGATGAGCCTCCGTTGTTTATTTAAGCTAGTCATCGGGGAGACCTCGTCGTTTCCAAGACGTCGTTAATGAAATCGAACGAGAATTAGATACCGGGTTTTTTTGCGGTCCACGGTGCTGTCACTTCCGCACAGGATTTTGTGGAATGAAATGTTTGCCCTTGAAGCACCGACTTATATGACATGCTAGCAGAATAAATCAAGATGAATTCTTCGCACGGCGGTCAGTTGCTTATTGGCGGACTTTTGGCTTTTCAAAGCCTATCCCACTGCACATTAGTGAATATACAAGTCAACCAACAACTAGAGAATTCAGGTAGACAAATTGCTTTACTTCTCCTCTACTAGTTCGTTTAAACATACGGATTCTGGCGTACCGCTTTGCAATGTTGGATACGCGGTCAGAGACAATGCACGTCGTGTGTTGAAAACAATGCGGCGTGACAGTTGTAGGCCCTGATGATTTAGTGACAATCAGTGTAAAATTCAGCGAGTTCCCTGAGGGCTGAACGAACGAACTACTATGTTACATGTTTTCCACTCATGCTGATTTCCGGTTGTCACCTCGCATTGGCCATCAGGTTCTTCTCTCCACTCCTATTACGGCCCTCACTATACTCTGTCTTCAGGCCTCAACACGTATTCGCACTCCTCGAACCAATTAGAGAGTCGTGATAGTTGCTATGTTTGTTATCAATGAGGCGCGATGGATGCCGGTGGACCACATGACTGACTACTTGTGTTGTGATGCATACAAGTCTCTAATCACATTCGCTTTATTTTCGTATTGAATACAATTTTAGCTTTTGTGGCACTTATTTCTCATTTGGATGCTAACTAACATATCTTACGGGCTTGTTTGGGTTTGGTACCGCTCATCGGAACCTTATAGTTGAATCATTAAGCCAAGCTGATAGCAACTTTAGTGTCTCACACTTATTTCTTTCCTTAAGGCAAAAATGGACCTTTTTGTCTTGGTGCATTTTTTTGGATGGTGGTTCAAAACACTGATCGTCCGAGACTACTGGTTATGCAACGTCCTCAGCTTCGCTTTTGAGGTTATGGAATATACCCTGGAGCACCAGTTGCCGAATTTTCACGAATGTTGGTGGGACCACGTAAGTTCTCCGTTCTGCTACTACCCCCACTCACTATATCATCCTGAACTGTTTGAACCATGACATTTTCTTCAAACATAAACTTCATCCCCCCTCGGCCGTCGCGCAGATTATCAAGGGTCGCCTTATCTGCTGCATACAGCAGGGCAGATAAGCGAAAGCATGCTACTGCTGGCGCCTCCCTTCTTTCTTTTCCACCTTTTTCTCTTACTCCCATCCCGGCCCCCATTACTAACCTTCCTTCTATAATTCCCAGCTTAATTGACAGCAACCGAAGTGCTACTGGAGTAGAACCATCTGCAGCCACCATCCCACAGCACCTATCGGACGTCTATCGGCAAAAGTTCCTTATAAGGCCACGCTGTCCCGTTTCCATGGCGACCTTCAACGTCCGCACTCTAAGACAAACAGGTCAGCAGGCTGCACTCGCACGCACCTTGGACACACTGGGTGTTGATGTGTGTTGTGTGTCCGAAACTAGGATTAATAACCCTAACGGGGTTATTGAATTGACTGCACCCGGCTTATCCTCTCGTTATTGGTTGCACGCATCCGGAGACGCCGATGCGGCACTCACGGGTCAAGCTGGTGTAGGTATCATTCTCAGCTCCAAGGCTGAGTCATCGTTGGTTGATTGGATTCCGGTGAACAGCCGTTTATGTGCAGCCCGTTTGACGACATCAGCTAAGGTGAATTCGCGAAGTAAAACAAAACGCTGTTTGTTTGTGATTTCTGCTTATGCTCCCACGGACTGCAGTTCTAATGCAGTCAAGGACACTTTCTATCACGAGCTGAACACGCTGCTACGCAGTGCTACTAGTTCAGATATTATAGTACTTGCAGGGGATATGAACGCTCAAGTAGGGCGTCTGAGCTCTTCAGAAGCTCAGCTGGGTGGTAAGTATGGACTTAACGCCGAACGGACTGACAATGGCGAGCGTCTGCTGCAACTGTGTGCGGAGCACCAGTTGTTTCTTACTAGCACTGCTTTTAGACACAGTGGGCGCCGAAGTGCCACTTGGCGTCCACCTGTAGCTGGTCAGCGATGGACCCAAATTGACCACATAGCCATAAGTTACAGGTGGCGCGGTTCCATTCTGGATTGCCGCTCGTACTGGAGTACCTGTGTCGACTCTGACCATGCCTTGGTGCGCTGTCGTTTCTCCATGAACTTTACCGGAAGGCGCACAAAGCGTCTCCCCCGATTGGCAACGGAGAAATTGTCCCAGCCCTCTGTCAGGCAAGCCTATCAAGAAACACTGCATAGAGAACTCTCGCTGTCTTGTCCTAATGATACTGAACTTCAGTGGAATAGGATCTCGGCTGCTATGCACGACGCAGGAGCATCTGCTTGTGGAACTATCAGTCGTCATCGCACTAGTCACTGGATATCCGAGAGGTCCGTGAACCTTTTGGAAGCTAGAAGGCACCTCCCGGCTGGTTCTGAACACAATGTGACCAGACGGGCTATTAGGCGTGAACTAAAGCGGAGCCTACGTGCTGACAAGGAAGCCTGGTGGAGCAGTCGGGCTCAAGAAATGGAGGAGGCAGGAGCAGTAGGCAATTACCGCAAGCTCTTCCAGCTAATACGCACCACTGGTCCGAGAAAACCAGGCGTCAGTGAGACAATCAAGGACAGCGCGGGTGCGCTGATACACAATAAGGAGCGCCGTATGGCTCGTTGGGCTGAGCACTTTGAACATCAGTTCAGCTGGCCCCCTGCTCCCGGACCTCTTCCTACTCAGGTGATGCAGGACGAGCCATGGACGGTTAGTTTAGAGCCTCCGTCGGAGGCCGAGGTCCGAAACGCGATCACAGCCCTCAATCGTTTTCGTGCCGCTGGCCTGGATTCCCTACCACCTGCACTATTTAAGGATGGAGGTGAGGTCCTCTGCAAAGCACTGACCTCCCTATTCGAACGTATCTGGAACGAAGAGAGTGTGCCGGCTAATTGGAGCGAATCGATTGTAGTGGCAATATACAAGAAGGGCAGTCGCGCAGACTGTGCGAACCACAGGGGTATTAGCCTAACGCCAGTTGTGACAAAATTACTGGCCTCGATTATCGTTCGTCGCCTCACTGCAGAACGGGAATCTCGGATTAGAGAAGAGCTGGCCGGTTTTCGCCCAGGACGTGGCTGTATAGACCATATATTTACTTTGCGGCAGGTGCTAGAGCAGCGCCACGCATACCGCAGACCGACAATAGCTGTGTTCCTCGATTTCAAGAGTGCGTTCGATTCAGTCGATCGATCGATTCTGTTCGAACTACTTGCGCGGAAAGGTGTTCCCACGAAATATGTGAACATCCTTCGTGCTCTATACTCGAACACTAGAGGCCGCGTCAGGGTCTATGGTGCCCTAACGGATAGCTTTTCGACTACAAGTGGCGTTCGACAGGGTTGCCCGATTTCCACGTTTTTGTTCAATTTCGTCGTGGATTCTATCATGGAGTGTTCCCTTGCGGAATCACACGATGTAGGTGTTGAAGTGCTGCCTGGTGAACGGTTAGTTGATCTAGATTATGCGGACGATATCGTCTTGCTTTTCGACAATGTTGAGGCGGCACAATCAACCCTGAATAGCCTATCCAGAGTGGTCCCATTATTTGGTATGCACTTCGCACCTTCAAAGTGCAAAGTGTTGCTGCAGGACCACCAGCCACCGGATGACCCCTTGACGCTTGCTAACGAGGAACTCGAGGTGGTTGATCAATTCACTTATCTTGGCAGCTGCATCAGCAATGATGGGCGCATAGAAACTGACGTGAGCTCACGCATTGCAAAGGCTAGAGCTGCCTTCTTGAACCTGCGTCACCTTTGGCGACAGAAGGGAGTTTCCCTCCGTCTGAAAGGCCGTGTATACAAGGCCACAGTGAGGGCCGTTCTGCTCTATGGTAGTGAAACTTGGCCCCTTCGGTCTGAAGATCTGAGGCGCCTTCAAGTCTTTGATCATCGTTGTTTGCGAAGCATTGCTGGTGTCGGATGGCACCAGCGTGTCCGCAACGATGATGTGCGTAGGCGAGTACTAGGTGGTGATGATCATGCTAGCTCCCTAGAACAACAGATAGCACTGAATAAGTTACGTTGGCTCGGGCACGTGCTACGCATGCCTGGTCACCGCTTACCTAGGAGGGCCTTGTTCAGTCTACCAGGTGTCGGATGGCGGAAGGCTCGAGGTGGACAGAAGTTGACTTGGCAGCTGGAAATAAGGTCACTGACGACCAAACTGGGTGCCGTTGGTCCGTCTCGCCTTCCGGGTTGGAGTCCACGTGACTCACCTTGTGCTTGGCTCGAGACTTTACAGGACATGGCTCGCAACCGACACCAGTGGCGCGTCTGCTGCCGTCTCCTAATCGGATTGTCTGTTTAAAGTGTGTTTGGTGCTGAGTTATCTGCGGGGTAATGGCTGATTATGACGCGTGGCAGTGAAAGCCGCAAGGAAGCTGTCTCGCCGATGCCGCCTTATCTTTGCACGATAGCTAGCTGTTTGTGACGGTATGTTGTTAACACAAGGTGTAGGCGCCCTGACCCAGAATGTTTGCTTAGTGCATTAAGGTTTTCAGGTAAGTCCCCCTTCTCTCCCTCTTCTTATTCTTTATTTCATAGGTCCTCATGGTTGTATGGCAGCGAAGCATCAGTTCAAATGGCTGATGTACTGCTGTTGTTGATGATGATGTTGATGATTGAACGTTGAGTACTATAGAAAACCTGATCTTGTTCAGTCAACTTTTGCGTGCCTCCTTGTAATCTATCTCAACAGCGCAATTTGTGCGCCCTTGCAGATGTTGCCTACGATGCATTTACGATTGACATTCGTATGGATCGTTACGGTTCTTCTGTCACTGAAGCGTCATGGAATGCAGTTGCCTCTTCACATTTGCGTATTAGAATTCATGACCCTCACTAGATTTCCTGTGATTCTGTACGTAGCTGGCTTTCCGGTACCTAAATTCTTGAGGACTGATTCTTCTATTTCATTCGCCGTCTTCCACTCCAAACAATCTAGGAATTCGGTAGTTGTTATCGCCATATGTGCTTCGGTCTTTTAGGTAAACCCTTCCATCGCAGCTCACACAGGTCTCTCATGTCACTCTGTTTGACCATATCTCATTCGAAACACCCTGAACACACTACCCATCAGATATTTGTTCGATCAAAAGGTACATATCCATGATTTCTAAATCTGCGGAAACCACTTTGCTCAGATGTTAGGGGGATGTAATTTGATCTTTCGGACAAATCATTTTTGTGGCAAGATGATCGACGGGTGACTTTTCTTAACTAAAACACCGCCTTACTATATTTTGAGTTTCTTGGCCCAGATTAGGGCAATAGGACTCATTCATATGATACCACTTCCAACCACCAATCGGAAGAGCGATTATCCTCTCTGATGTCAAGTTACTACTTTCTTGCCAACCCTATCTTTGCTCCTCAGCTTTCTTGTACAGCCGAGGATGTCATTTTCGTTGCACTAAGTAACCCCAACGACATGTGCTTCGGACGTTTTTCCTGATTTCATTGGTGCATCAAATGTCTGATTGCTTGATAGCTGCAAGCACATTAGGCCCCATTGTTGCAACCGATCATTCTGTCCATCAGTCCTTCGACATGGATTCGGGTTGAATTTCGAACAAGTTAGGTTAATTAACAGTGCTTGGTCGCTTTCGACTAAGCTCCTGATTTATTCTTTGGTGTGACTCCGATATCTCTCTATCACAAGTTACACTCATACTGCTTCATGCAGTCGTAACAATGGCCACCTGACACTAGTCCGGTCCGACCTTACCACCCATTTATTGAGATTCCGGACTCCCTAGTTTGTCTACTGTATACTTCTCATCCGGCGAATTATATCCGTTCTGATATATAGTTCTTGGTATTTTCAAATCGAACTCGGCTTAAGTAGCATACTGTGCGTCCGATGTTACAGTCTCATAATAACGAGTTTGTTGTCTGCGCATTTCTAATCACTATGGCCGATTGACAATTGACTCAACAGGCTACACCTGGGGATCTATGTTTTTTTCACTAACTGACTTATAGTTTTTACTCATGGTACCATGGGTGGATTGCGCACTTTCCCCTACGGTCTAGCTGGTACCAGTACCGAATTCCCCAAAGCTTCGTTTCCATTATTGCAACTTTCCTGTAGCCGGATGGACAAACCCTAGTGCCCCGTGTCGTCTTACAATATGTACTGAAACTCGTATCTCCTACGCTGTTTGCCTGGCATGCGCGCGTTGTGATTTTTTCCCCAGTGGAAGTTTCAACGCGTTGCTCACGTCACTGGTGTTCTGGATTGCCAACAGATGTGAGTACTTTTGCGTTTAATTATCCGGGATAATCCTGTGGGATCAGTTCGATTTTGGGGGTTCCTTCTGCACTCATCGTCGCTATGGAATACTTCCACAAATGACAACACATTTTGCTTTCCTGTTATCTGTCCAGCCCGCATCCAATCGATACTGTCTTCGGACGGCATCTCCCTCATCCGCCGGCGTTTTGAATGATAGCGAGTGGTTGACACGCTAATGTTGCCAACCCCAGTGGATTAGGGGGTGTCAGCAGAACAACTTCGTAGCATCACTTCTGTTGAGCGGTTGAGGTATGACTACTGATGGTCATTACCGGATCAGCGTTGAAACAACCGTTGATGAGCTATCCGGTTCGGATGAGACGCAAATCGTTGAAGGATAGACTTGATCCGTCGACTCGATCAGTGTTTATCTGCGTGTCCCGTACCCGTGAGTCGTATTGTGGAGTGCATATCTCATAAGATTCTGGATCTGATACGTTGCCGTTGACGCACGAATAACCGATATGACTACGCGAATCAAGGACCAGCTACTTCCCAACTTAGGCAACAAAAGCCTCGCCAATATCTCCAGTTATATTATAAAGTACAATAAAAGCAACTTATAGGAAGATTCCGAGCTACCAGAAAATATAAGATGCATGAGTGCTCTCGTTGGCGGACTCTGAGCCAAAAGTGTTATCATTGACCAACTCCGAAGGAATGGCACTATGTTTGGTTTCTGACCAATGAGCTCCGATCTGGGTTGGTCCGGGCTTCCGTCGAAATTTCCGGATTGGGACCAGTCTTGAAAAGGATATATAAGCGGTCTGTGCATTCCGAAGCGGTTTTACGGAGGCGAAGCGAGATCTTCTAATAGGTCCATCATGTCGCCTCTTTTCGAGTGCCCTCACACATGTTCTGAAAATGACTTCAGAGTCATCTACTCCATTCCTGAGCGTTGTTCACGCGGATTCCGGAAACATCTATCTGTTGCTGAGGCTACATCAATCAATCTGCGTACCAAAGCAATTTGAATGCCCCTTTAACCGGAGCCTACAACTATCGTTACATGACCACTTGATTTACGCCCTAACTGACCTTTTGTACTTAATGTGCTACCTTCAGCGACAGTGGGATTTATCGATTCGATAGTCAACCAAATTCGGCACATATAACATGTAATCCCCACTATGTAGACGGGTCTTAACGAAAAAGATTGCTTACTTACTACTTGCATTTCACTTTGGTTCCTGTATAGATAGTGTCTCTGAATGGCTGTATCTTCTTGTTCTCGGATATTAGCGTGTGTTATCGTCCTGTCTAGTTCACCCTAAGGTTGTGCTTATTTTGGCCACACTGCCATTCGATGCATCTGCCCACCGTCTACCATTCAACGCATGATTGTTGTCGCCTGACATCTTGGCTTTGTTGTCTCCTAGCCATTTAATCGATTAGTAAGGACAAAACGCATTTGTATGTCAACATACAGTGTGTGGGCGCACGACCAGACAGGGTAGGCAGAGAGCCTGAGCAAAGCGAAGCGACGTAATTCGAACTATATTATTGTCTCACTACGTGAACGGGCGCCTGTATACAGCCCGCCTGGTAACAACTAAGCCATAGGTATAACAGACGTTATTTGTTCACATAAGCTCCAACAAAAGCAGCTTTCTGCCACGAAAATCGAACATTACCTTGATACGGTTAGTCTTCTAAGCCCCTCGGTGGCTAGATCAAGTGGCATGTCCAAACACAGCGCATCGACAACAGTGAGCTGTTATCGCAGCCATTTACAGATTATCGGCCGTTTCTAAGCCTCACTACCCTCAAGGCATCGACATGCCTATTAGGCTCATCAATCGGTAAATCCAAAAGATCAATTCGCTCCTAGGTTCATGTGATGTGGTTCAATCCTTGACTACCATCCTTTGGGATAATTCGTCCATTTTGATCATATCCTGCTCTACTCTTGCCTTCCTTCGAAGGTGCAGTAAACGATCCCTTCGATTAGTAACCAGGAAGCCACCTCAGCCTTCGGTTAATTGGGCTCTGCGTACTTGGTTTTCACGTAATTACCATGAGAACATGTAGTTTCAGTGAAGTGGGTTTACCGCTGCAGTGCATGCATGAAACCTTCTACCTTCGTTATTACCGACCGTGATCATACAGTGTACTGTCTGTACAGGCAATGCGTTTGTTGAAATATAGTGGGATCCCTCTGGTAACGAAGATAATGCAATGAGGCGTCCTACCTGGCGCTACCTATAACAAGCCATGCGAACTATCAGTTGAGCCACAGTCCCGTGTAGTGGAAGAACTAGGGCACCAAGAAAACATTCACATGGGCTTCCAACTAATCCGCATCACTGGCCCCAGGAAATCGTCATTCATTGAGACTACCAAGAACAGTCATCATCAACAGAAGTATATCAGCCATTTGAACTGAGGCTTCGTTGCCATACAACCATGATGACCTATGAAATAAAGAATAATGAGAGAGAAGGGGGACTTACCTGAAAACCTTAATGCCCTAAGCAAACATTCAGGGTCAAGGCGCCTACACCTTGTGTAGACAACATACCGTCACAAACAGCTGGCTATCGTGAAAAGATAAGTGTCAGTGGCGATTGAACTGTTCCCTGAGCTTGGCAATTTGGTTGCAAACTTTTCGTCACCAATCGAGGTGACACCATCAGTGCGTAGTTGAGTGGCGTGCAGTAGCGTAGAAAAGCGTAGAGGAGCCTCGGTGAGAGTGCGCTAAGCTTGGTGTGCGTGTGTTTTTTTATACCGCCCTGGTTGCCCGTGGAGGCGAGCAATCCTATTGGTTGGGATTTCAATCCGCGCTCAGCCTGGTTGATGAGCAGATGACCTTTGATCTCGCCTCCTTGTGTTTCGTGCCCTATGTCTGCTTGCTCTTGCGAGCGAGTCTGCCGTCAGTTCTGGTTGTCTAGTCACGCATTCTACTGGATTCAGTCGATCGAGTTGGTAGTCGTTCGCCAGTAGTGTTGCGTATACTGCGTCCAGTTCGATGTGTCGATTGATTGAATTCCTTGTAGAGTACCAGACTTCCAAAAAACCCCTCGCTTGTTTTGTATTTCCATGTGCTAGGATCTTTACATTCTCAAGATCGAAATGGTGGCCTTCTTGATCTTCATGCGCAGAAACCAATGAGTGCGGATCATGTCTTCTGACGGCCGCCTTGTGTTCGGTGATTCGTGTACAAAGTTTTCTTCCAGTTCGTCCGACCTAGTTTTTATCGCAGTCGCTGCATTTTAGCTGTTAGATGACATTGCATTGGCCGGTTTGATTAACTTTTTCTTTGGGTTTTGAGATCAATTTCTCTATGGTGGCACTTGGTTTGTGAGCCACAGAGATTCCATATGACTGCAGCAATCTTCCTGTTAGTTCAGAGACGTTCTTGATGTATGGGAGCACTATTCGTTTGCTTACTTGCTCAGGTGACTGCTGCTGCTGTTGCTGAGACGTTCGTTTCTTTAAGCTTCTTCTGATGAAATTTCTCGGATAACCGTTGTTTCTAAACACTCGATATAGGTGCTTTTCTTCCTGTTTCCGCGATTCAGCTGTGCTGCAGTGCGTTTCCACTGTTTTTAAGGCAGCACTTCTTTTGATTCATTGGGTAGTTGCTGTGGTAGTTTTATGTCTGGTCCGTATGCGTTTTTTTCCGATATACGCACGTTTGCAGAGATCCGTCGGTATTCCTAGTGACCAGAAGATCCAACATGGTAACTTGTTATCCTCCTCTAATTTAATCGTAAATTTGATATCCTCGAATGTGCTGTTGAGCAAATCGTGCATGGCCTGTACTCTGTTCCGTTTTACGATGACAAATGTGTCGTCCACGTATCCGGTTCTTAACTCACTATCGGGCTATGAACACAAAGTGCAGATTCCGATTGACCTTTTGTGGTGCTGCGCCAAACTTTACGATACAAGCAATAGCTTTGCATTTCCGTTGCGCGTTCTACAATTCACCCGCGTTACCTTTAAGCCAGATGATGGCGCGCACGTCTCATGGTTTGTGATCGAGTATTTGTAGGACCATCTGGATGCCAATCGGACACCGACGTATTGTCGAGTTGTGCCAACGTCGTTACACCTTGAGTTTCACCATGCTCTTGGTGCTTATACTACTGTTAAGCTAGTTCTTCCCGAGTTGACGGCACCGAATTACATTGATCGGTGATTACTCAGCACGCTGCTTATCAAACAATTTCCCAACCCTATTGTTGAGACTGTCACTCAATGCAGCTATTTAACTCTTCTAAACCCATGTGTTGAAGATCATTGCAGCGCGCGCTCGGTTTGTACCTTGTGTTAAGCGATCTTTTTCTTTTGAAATATTCTTTTTTAGTGGATTATGGACTTTTTGGTTTGCAACATGGCAGGCATTTGGCTGGGAATGAAGACACTTAACTACCTCAGTATCAAACCATACCATTGGCGAGGTATGTGGAAGATTTCGGGTTACAGGTGAGCTCAACTTTCATCATTCTTGTGCATATCTATTACCTGGTCTACATATAATTATTGGTTTCGAGTATTCTGCTATGCCCTAAAATGTCATCTGTTGCGATTTGCATTTGTGCGTGTCTTCTTTTGTCAACCTTTCCTTCGCACTTCCTCCGTATTAGTAGTATTATGCGAAGCTGGTTAGTGAGGCGTAAGTCTATCCCTGATCACGTGATGATGATGACTTAATGACCTAATTGTGATATGCAAACAACAGATCATTCTGTGTTCGTGTCACAGGGTATGGGTCCATGACATTACCACCTACGTTAGAATCAGGCATTATTATTATTATTATTATTATTCAACACCTGACTAATATACAATTGGCAGTGCCACAACACATAGTTAACAACAACAGCAACAACAACAAGGGGAAAACAGATAGACAGTGGAAATGTTTGGAAGGTTTACAAGGTTAATGTGTTGTGCGAGCAGAGATCTTCCCTGTTGCCCAGGCCGACGAAGAGGGTTGACTTAAGAAACTACGCCCGAGCCTTTGGTTATAAAGACCTGACTCGCAAGGCAGCGGGACGATTAACGGAGACCATTGACATCCGTGTAGCTCATTCGCCTTCTATGTGTTCAGTAGCAGTCCACAGAGAAGCCGGTGACCAACAAGGTTGTTCATCCGCCCTCCGTTAGGTACTCACTTCTGGTTACAGAAGTGAGTGGTCAGTGACCCTATAGCCGGTCACATTGGCTTTGACACAGCGCCGTACGAGTTCTTGTGGTATTTGATGGAGAACCAGGTGACCAGCCCAGAACTACCCACGCTCTGAGACGCTGTCGCTGATTGTCCGCGACTGCTTATTCATCTCCCCTGCAATGCAAACGAGACTTATTCGCAATTACCTCCACAAGGAAGGCATTCCCCGATCCGCAACCTGGGGACGCGCCCGATAGCTTACAGGTATTGTGTGTCTAACCTCGGATACCCTTACAACATTCCACTTCTGTGTCACCTGGGTTTCAACGACATCAAACATCGCTTTCGACGTGCGTTGCCTACCACTGCCTGGCAAACTTACGTGCCGTTGCGCATTCTATCGTGCCCACAAATTCAGTCCAACCAACTCGTCTATCATACTATTTCCGGTAACGCTTACCCGGATCATCTTGATTATATCTGACGAGTTGATACTCGCGGACTAGAATTCGGTCCTTTTACCCTTTCAAGTTTTCTATCTCAAATGGCAGGAACCTACTAAGTAGAAATCTCGTTTATCCTCCAGAGTTGCTCGATCCGTCGACACAGATTGGTCTTGCATAGTTACAGAAGTACAAAATGGACCTCTTGTCAGGGCTTGTGAATAGGCTGCTAACTCGAAAGTCTCGCTCTTTTATTCACCGGTGGTACGTGCTTTTTGATTGTAACAATTGCTTTCGTAATATTCACCTTAGTTCTACCATACTAGACTCCCTCGTGTTCATGAGTAACTTCATATCAGTTAACCACACCGGCTTGTTTTCGTAGCGTGTCCCGAAATTTGCCTCTAGTATGCAACCTTCCTTGCTGCTATTTAGGCCTAGTAAGTGATACGATGAGCTATACTTTCGGTTCAGCAGAATAAGTATTGTTCCTCGTGGCTTCCCAACTTCTCATCCTGTCTTTAACCACATAAATAAAAAGGACGGCGCCTTGTCCATCGAATCTTACGGAATGGAATTCTCACCAATTTAAGATCGATGAAGTATGAGGTATCATAACATTTCTTCCGAAATCGAACCATTCTATTTCACATTCATCACAGAATAGACTGATGCATACGGTTATGCGCTTTGACGTGTGCTTCACAGAAGAATGTAAGCGGTACTGCAGAACTAGGTTAATACGCTCCTAATTCTCATTATTATCAAACTGTCGCCCTCATCATTACACGTTTGCTAGATGTAAGAAGCTTCTCGGCCATTGTGTCGCAATATAAAAGGATAAGTTATATGAAAAGAGCGGTACTAAACAGTAGAGAATAAAAACACATAGATAAATGAATAAATAAAGTTTTTATTCTCGGCAAAACGAGGCACACTTTTACAGGTATGAGCATGTTACCATAACAACGCAATGTGCAAAACTCCGATATGTTTGCCATAACAATATTTGTGTAGGGGTGTATATATGTATGCAATTGTGTGTGTATGTAGCTGCGTTGTGTGCGCTTGTGCCCCATGCTAAGGCTGATGTTACATTCTTGATGCTTCTTCACCGCAGTTGGGCTAAACCAACTTACACTTAAACTAGGTCTTTTTAAGCTGGCTAAATTTCATTCCACTTTATTTGGTTTGTTCTGCCTACCTGAATACTCTTCTATTAACTGGCCACGTTGCTTACATTATTTGGGCTTATGTTCGGTAACTTTGTTGCGTTTGTAGCATTTTTAACTAACTTGCGGACATATTTTCCTTATCGCGTATTCGTTGCTAACCAACTTACTTCATATGCTAATTTAGCAAAGTGTTATGCCACCGTATCTGTATGCATTATTGGATTTGTTTTATTTCATCTTGTCGTTCCAGGTGATTGGCTGTTGCTTGATATCCCCGGTGTGGCTGCGCTTGATGTGCATGTTGACAAGGTGCCTACCTGTCTATTACCCACTACCTCGTCCATACTGGCTCCAGGAGACAGCTTGTCGTTGCTGGAGGGGACGGGGTGCACGGTCCTTGTGGCCGTGCTAGGCTCGAAGAGTGGTTCCATGCACTCAGTGTGGAGCGGACTACGGTCCAGCCACCGCCTTGTGTGCGCTTGATTTCCAAAATACAGCGTGCTTGTGTTTGCCTGTGAAGGAGTGTGGGCCGGCTCCGTTGATGAAACGTGGCTCCCATCCACATGCCTCCCGGTCTTATTCCTTCGGGTTTACACTGGATATGGGGTGTGTGGTTGGAGCTGTGGGTGGTGCAGCGCAAGCCATCCATGGTCCCTCTGTAGGCGCAGGCGTCCTGTGGCTGGCCACAGTGACAGGCAAATCCGAAACCGGATGCCGCCAACCATGTAGCTGCGTAGTTTGTGCTTGTGATTGTGCTGCTCATTTCTTGAATGCTTGATATCGTCGACAATGTGGTAGTAGAAGACTGATGTCCGTGGGTTGGAAAGGATTATCCGGATCTCCACGGGGCAGTGGTGAGTCATGACCGCCACGTCACCGTGTTGTTAAGCAGACATTTGTGGCTTTATATAGGGAGAACACTTGCCAGGCAAAATCCCAACACGTCCTGGAACACTGCCACCGGATTATTTGCTGGAACGCGGTAAACCCGAACCACCCAGCTGGCACCACGAGGAGATTGTCCGGCTAGCCAGCTTAGCATCAAATTATACACTGCCATTGAGAATATGGGGCGGAAAGCCATATCATCGCACCGGGGAATGCTCACACGAACGCATCTGCGATCCACTGCCGCGTGCAGTAAGGCACCAGCGGTACTCCGGAATGCAGTACCGAAGCTTCGCTGCTGAGGAACCACCACCGGTCGCACGTGGACTAAGGATACTGCGAGGGTCGTCCTGCCCCGACGCAGGCTCGAACCCGTGTCATCAGATTATAAGACGAGCTTGTCACCTTCCGGCTGCGGACCGGCGTGCAGACCTTTTACCCCCAAAGGGAATAGGACATATGAACTCTGTTCTTCAGGCGAACGACCACCGAAATGCAAGCTGGACGACTGGTTTGTGGACAGGCGCACGTTAAGCAAGGCGACCGCTGATTTGAGACAGTATGACCACGATGTATGCGAATGATCGATAGCTTTTATGGCTGTCTCACTGGTATTTGGTTGACCAGGCCAAACGAGAAGGTTAATGCGGAGAATGGTTCCAGTTTTGGAACAGTGTCTCAGCGGTGGAGCACGGTGATGCACGTTGTCGGCGACTTATCTGCAACAGGAGTTACAATACGTGGCTGTTGATCAGCGCGTGTTGATTCTTCGGCTGTATGGTCAGTGCGGTTTAAACGCTGCAAAAACTGGACAACGATCCAACAACATGAATGACCGTTACGTTCTGAAACGGGTGCAAAAGTTGGAAAACCTGGTTGTTTGCAATATCAGGAGAACTGGTCGGCCTCGCACCACTTCGGATGGGTTTTAGGTTTGCGATGTTATCCGCGAAGTAACCGAAGGTCTCGATCTCATCAGCAGTACAACCGCCTGTCATTGTGACACCACCATTTACCATGTTAACTGATTTGAAAGGGAAGAAAATTTTGTCGGTATGGTGAATTTCACTTGCAATTTTTAAACCTCTGCGATTTGGTGAAACGGCATGTATTTAGCTCCTGATTCTTGGGTCATATGGGTATTCATTCCATTAATTTACCAATGAATCGGTGTTCTATTTGAACGGAATAGAGAGGCGGTATTTTTGGACAGTATCTAATATACTACGTTTCCGAGCTTCACATATGTAACATAGCCCAAAGGTCATGATTTGGGTTGGAATAATTGATCAAGAAATCGTGGGCCTACTTTTCTTCCCCAGCAATGTGACCGGTAGGTTGTTTTGCGCATTACTAATGTCATGCCTTTCAGAACATCACTTTCAATGTACTACTGCAGACTTGCGTAATTCCGCAATTGGGTTATGGAGTACCACTTGGTGGCAACATGATAGCGCACCTGCACATGATGCTCAAACCGTACGTGATTATCTAAGCGGGATTTTCGGCCACCGATGGATCGTTCGGGATGGATCAACGGAGTTGGATTTCTTCTTTTGGGGCTATTTGAAGAGAAGAGTTTATGTGACAAATCCGAATTGATTGAACAAATTAAACTGATCATCGTGAGTGAATGTCGCGCGATCATCGCAGAAACATTGGAGAAAGTTGTTGCCAACTGTCTCAGGCGATTTCTGCATTGCAAGCAGAACGCCGGTGGTCATCTTGAACACCTACTGCGTTGATGTTTACATAACCGTTTAACCCCGTGCAATTAAATATACGTATCCAAACACACGTTTTCCT